CTGCACACTTCCTGGGACTCCATTCTCTGCTGATCTAAGGCTGAGGGCTCTGCTGATCCCCAAAGTCCCCACCTTCCCGCGACCTGAGTTGAAAGTGTTAGTCACAAGCAGCCAGGACTGTTCTGGACCTCAAGGCGCTGCCAAAGGGGATGGGACTTTATGGGATCCTACTGTTCTGGCTGGGTCTTTATTCAGGTCTATCACTGTCATTTCTGTGAGAGACTCACACTCTCTCCTCTACCAGCCTGAGAACTCTGCCCTTAGACAAATTTCTTATGGCCCCAAGAGGCCTGAAGGATAAGTGAGGGTACGGTTAGCCTCACAGGTCTGCCTGAGACCCTCTGTGTCTGATAGCAGACAGGACTGGTGTCCCAATGACCACCCCCCAATATTCTGGGGTTTGGTCTCCTCAGTCCTCCTACACGGGGCCCTCATCTTGCTTTCTATCCCTTGGATTAAAGCCTGCTTAGGAAATTCCACATCTCTGCAAACCCTTGAGCAGTTTTCGCTCTGCAAACCTTACAGAGAATGGGTCCCTGGCCCAGGAGTAATGTGAGATGGGGAAGCTGTAGCACAAGGCAGGAGTCCCAGAACAGGTGGTGGTAGCCTGTCAGGGAAAAAAAGTACACTGATCTATTCTATCTCATCAGCCAGATGAAGATTCCCACGTCACTTCTGTTCTGATAGATTTACTTTCTACGGGGAAGAGACTGTGAGGATGATTTTGAGAGCCCCTAGTCTTTTGAGGTTACCTAACATCGCAAATGTAGATGCTTATACTGTCACCAAATATTGTCTCTTTCATTTATTTATTTATACCTCTCAAATATTTTGGTATTCTTACTGCTCTGGCTACGTATTCCAATCCAGTAGTTTGAGCACAAGGCCATTCTTTTTATCACCTAAGACAAAGTTTGAAATACTGAGAAAACAACTGAAATAAAAGACACAGGATGTGTCTCAGGGTAGGAGGAGTAGAACAGTACGAGCTCTACAGTAATTTAGACCAGGAGTCTAGTCCCACCCCTGTCATTTACTAGCCTTATGAATTTTGGCACATTACCAAACTCTAACTCTATGAGCCTCAGGATCTTCACTGTGAAGCGAGTTTGATAAGACCTGTCTTGTAGGACTGGTGGAATATATGTAATGTATGGAAAGCATCTGTCACTGTGCCTGTCTTGTATTGAGACGTTAGGGAATGGCAGTTATTACTATGATCATCTTGACCTCAGATGTTACCATCAATCCAGCTGGGATTTTTTTTTTTACATCTAAGATATGTCAGAGAATATGCAGCATTCTAGCCAGAAAAAATCCTCCCAATCAGCCAAAATTCTGTTTTTAACAATGAAAACTAAGGAATATGATCTCCCCACCCCCTCTTTACCCTGATTTTTTACTTGCTCTTCTTGAAGTAGAGAGTATCTCACCCTTTTCCACACAATAATAGCTTCTCTGAGAAACTGTAATTGCATGGGCAGAGGCTAGGACTTTTTTGATTAAACATCCCCAGTACAAGCACAGAGACTTCTTAAGAGCAGATGCTCAGTTAATGTTTGTGTAAAATAAGAGTCATGAACAAATCATTTGCTATAATTTATATTCTCAAACATTCTTGAAAAACATAAGCAAATCCAGTATATATCTTTTAAATTTACAAAAGAAAGACTAAGACTAAATGGAGTAAGGCAAACCAAGAATTGATCAACTTTGACTTTAGCTCTCTGTCTTACCTATCTTATCTCTCCATCTAGCTACCTAGCTATCTTCTGATCTTATTTTAGCGTGGTGTTCTTTCATGTTTCCAAGGATATTCTTATCCTAAAGTGATGTTATTCTTGTTCTGGACCACAAAAGTGATTTAAGGATTTCTAATTTGTATTTCAAAAAACAAAATCTTACTCCTAAATCTGACAAACAGCAATAAGTGTGTCATCCATGTCATTCATATACTTATATTCTGAATCTAAATAAACTTTCTGTTGAAAGGAACACCAATTAAAAATGCAGGGAAAATGTCAACAAGTTATTTAAGCATATCAGGAACACTGGTTAACAGGCTTTTCCAACCACAAAGTGAAGAATGGGTGGGCTTCAGACCTCACTAGGGGTGTGAGGAGAGGCTGGATGTGGCCCTGGAACGCACACGGCAGTGGCAGTAGTGCCAGCCCTGGCTGCAGCCCTGGCTCGGGTTCTGTCTCCCTCATCTCTCAAAGCCTCTTCATTGTGGGGTGGGAAGGCAGTGGGGGCCGTATCATGGATCTTGGCCAGAACCTCCAGCACTTTCATCTTGCTGGTTTCAGCGTGGGCTCTCGGGCCCCACAGGAAATCAGAGCGCGGGGGATCGCTGTTGGGCACCTGGCGGTACTCCAGGTACCTTTCCTGCACCAGATCTTCCGTGATAAGCTTCCTGGGCTCCCCAAAGATGAAGTGCCACCTTCCACTATAAACACCCAAACCATTCAGGAATTCCCAGACCTCCTCCTCAGAGGCGCGGTCGCCATTCAAGAAGATCACACCGAGGAGAGGCATCAGGAGCCCATTCTTCCGAAACCGCCCGCCACTGCTCCAACGCCCATCATCGCTGACATGTAGCTTGCTGACAAGGGCATAGGAATGACTGTTCGGCTTGACTTCCTTCCATTCTAGGCCAAAGACCAGCTTCATGCACTCGGAGGCTCTCCTGGGGATCTCAGGGAAGTGCTCCCTATACCTTTTGTTGACAATCTTCAGCTTTTCTCCCTTTTTAGTGGGCTCCTTTATCTTATATTTATACAGCATGAACTGCACCAACATCCCTGCCTTCCTGGCTACAAGATCCTTTCCAGAATCACTGGAGGTTGAGGCCTGGGAGGAATTTTTACTTTCCTCAACTTGGCCCTTGGCACGTACATCATATCCTGGGCATGAAACCCCTGCATCACGAGAGCTAGTGGCTGCGGCTCCCTGAGGCTCCTGGCGAGTGCCAGCAGCAGCGGAGCTCGGGGGAGTACCTTGAGAAACAGAAGCGGGTGAGGAAGTGGTCTCTTCTACCCCTGCTGTGGTGGCCTGAGCGTTAAGACCTTGGGTCTCACCTCTGTTACGGCGGCGTTCCTCACGAGCACGGAGCTTACTCTTCTGACCACGAGGCATGGTGGCTGTGGTCAGGGACAGCAGACAGGAGTGTGGGCCAATGACAGGTGATTTGGACACCTGTAGGCTGGAGAATGAGATGACGTGAGCACCTTAAAGTAGGGAGATTCCACCTTGGCTTTATCAAAGGCTGCCTCTGCAAGTTTCCTTGAGGGCACTGCTCTAGGAACCCACAAGGTTCCTGTTTTCCCGGTCAGCCTATCCTCCCAGAATCCCATAGAGGAGCCACAGAGGACTTAGAGTTTTACTCTGCATCCTATCAGCCCTGCCTTGGATTTACTCAGGTGACAACAGGTGCTGGCAGTGGGGTCCTCTCGGTTCATCTTCAATATTATTATGTCAGGTCTTGGCAGAACCTGGGCACCCTCCCCTCTGCTACTCTTAAGCTGACACCTCAAACCTCCCTGCGATCCAGGAGAAGGAAGTGAAGGGGTGCCTCAGTCCACCTCCCTGCCAGGGGACACCAGAGCTGCGAGCTCAGTAGGGTCCTTTCTATGCTGAGTTCGTTGCGATCATCATTTGAGGTCCTCACCTTGGCTCCTTAAGAGGCTTGGCACCACTCTCCATTTGCTGACTGGTGGATGCACCGTCAGACTAAGGACCTCACGTCTCTTAGACGTGATCTAAAGAAGTGAAGCAGACGCTCTACCTGACAGTCCTTCCCAGAGATTTCTTGGGCTGAAATCCAAGGGTTGGGCTGGACACTTTGACTCCTCACTCAGGTTCCTCAATTGGGCTCCCGGTAGAGAAGCTCAACTTCTGCCTGAATTGATGCCTATATGATAGTAAGAGCCAACAACCCTGTGTCCCAATAGGAGGAAGTGAAGATGACCGTATCTAACTAAATGTGGTCTCCCAAGAATGAAAGCTGTTGCAGGCAGGTTGAATTCCTTGTGGTCCCACACAAGATCCCAATTCAAGGTCTAAATGTGCCTCCTGATAGGGTCTAAGATTTCTCCCTCTGCTGACATGGGACCACTCTCCTCAGACCAAGACCTTTCTTTCCCTGTTAGCCTGTAGTGGGAACTGATGGGCATTTCTGCCTGACATCTATACTTGAGGTCTCCCAGGGATGATAATAGTGAGGATTCTTTCTGGCCTGAATGCTTTCATGTGGGACATACCCACAGTCCTCAAGGTTCTCACCATGACACGTGGCATAACCTGAACTCCTCCCTTGCCAACCCGAGGCTGCCCCCTTTGACCTGGTCTCTCACCTCCCTGAGATGTCCTGGGAATAAGTGAATGCAACTAATGTCAAAATACCCAATTCTCCCAAGCCTGAAAACAGGGCTGGTGCTTTCTGCTGCCCCGTTTCTTATGGGAGGGGCCCCCATCCTCACTCGGGGTCACAACCATGAATGCTGTTGAGGACTAGGTCCCTTTGCTGAATTGGGCTTATTCCATTAGACCAAGGCTCTCATCTCCCTGAGACCATCTCCAGAGGACATGAGGGGGCACCACAGCCTGCCAGCTCCGCCCGGAGCCTCCTCTCCTGAGTTTGGGAGTCATAAGGTAGCCCTCATTTCCCTTCGTCACTAGAGGGGAATTTAGGTCACTCAACATCTGTCTACCTTGCTAGGGCCTCCTAGAGCTGAGAGCAGGGGCGCTGCTCAGTGTGGCCCGCTGTGGGGGTCGAGGTCTGCTCACTAGCACTCAGGGCCCTCATTTAGGACTTAGATCTTCTGCATTTGTGGAACCAGCGCTACTCTCGCAGGCCAAGGCCTTCTGCCTGAGACACCACAGGCCGAATTCAGCCCGACAGCTCTGCTGGGGCCTCCAAGAATAAGATCGCACGGCTGGGATGCAGGTGGGTCACCTTTGTTATGGGGGGAGGGGGGAGGGAAGGTCCCTTCAGGCTACATTCAGGTCCTCAAACGCCCATCATCGCTGACATGTAGCTTGCTGACAAGGGCATAGGAATGACTGTTCGGCTTGACTTCCTTCCATTCTAGGCCAAAGACCAGCTTCATGCACTCGGAGGCTCTCCTGGGGATCTCAGGGAAGTGCTCCCTATACCTTTTGTTGACAATCTTCAGCTTTTCTCCCTTTTTAGTGGGCTCCTTTATCTTATATTTATACAGCATGAACTGCACCAACATCCCTGCCTTCCTGGCTACAAGATCCTTTCCAGGATCACTGGAGGTTGAGGCCTGGGAGGAATTTTTACTTTCCTCAACTTGGCCCTTGGCACGTACATCATATCCTGGGCATGAAAACCCTGCATCACGAGAGCTAGTGGCTGCGGCTCCCTGAGGCTCCTGGCGAGTGCCAGCAGCAGCGGAGCTCGGGGGAGTACCCTGAGAAACAGAAGCGGGTGAGGAAGTGGTCTCTTCTACCCCTGCTGTGGCGGCCTGAGCGTTAAGACCTTGGGTCTCACCTCTGTTACGGCGGCGTTCCTCACGAGCACGGAGCTTACTCTTCTGACCACGAGGCATGGTGGCTGTGGTCAGGGACAGCAGACAGGAGTGTGGGCCAATGACAGGTGATTTGGACACCTGTAGGCTGGAGAATGAGATGACGTGAGCACCTTAAAGTAGGGAGATTCCACCTTGGCTTTATCAAAGGCTGCCTCTGCAAGTTTCCTTGAGGGCACTGCTCTAGGAACCCACAAGGTTCCTGTTTTCCCGGTCAGCCTATCCTCCCAGAATCCCATAGAGGAGCCACAGAGGACTTAGAGTTTTACTCTGCATCCTATCAGCCCTGCCTTGGATTTACTCAGGTGACAACAGGTGCTGGCAGTGGGGTCCTCTCGGTTCATCTTCAATATTATTATGTCAGGTCTTGGCAGCTCCAGAGACGGGCGCAAGCCACGGCTATCAGTGCGGACCCCAGAGACGGGCATGAGACACTAAGGCTGCTGCAGCCACCAAGAAGCCTGTGTGCAAGCACAGATCAGTATCCACACCTCCCCTCATGGGAGCCTGTGCAGCCCGCCACTGCCAGGGTCCCATGATCCAGGGACAACTTCTCCGAGAGAACACACAGCGCGCCTCAGGCTGGTGCAACGTCATGCCGGCCTCTGCTGCTGCAGGCTCGTCCCGCACTCCGCACCCCTCTCTCCCCCTGGCCTCAGTGAGGCAGAGCCCCCCAAATCAGTTGCTCCTTTAACCCCGTCCTGTCTGAGAGAAGAACAGACGCCCTCAGGCGACCTACACTCAGGGGCGGGACCAAATCCAAAGCTAAACCCCAGGAGCTGTGAGAACAAAGAAGAGAAAGGGAAATCTCTCCCAGCAGCCTCAGGAGCAGCAGATTAAATCTCCACAATCAACTTGATGTACCCTGCATCTGAGCAATACCTGAATAGACAACGAATCATCCCAAATTGAGGAGGTGGAGTTTGGGAGCAACGATATTTTTTTTTTTTTCCTTTTTCTCTTTCTGTGAGTGTGTATGTGTCTGCTTCTCTGCGTGATTTTGTCTGTATACATTTGTTTTACCATTTGTCCTAGGGTTCTGTCTGTTTTTTGTTTTTCATTAGTATAGCTTTTAGTGCTTGTTATCACTGGTGGATTTGTTTTTGGTTTGGTAGCTCTCTTCTTTCTTCTTTTTTATTACTTTAAAAATTTATTATTTTTAGTATTTATTATTTTTTAATTACTTTATTCTATTTTATTTTGTTTTTCTTTCTTTCTTTCTTTCTTTTCTCCCTTTTATTCTGAGCCAAGTGGATGACAAGGTCTTGGCGCTCCAGCCAGGCGTCAGGGCAGTGCCTCCGAGGTGGGAGAGCCAAGTACAGGACAGTGGCCCACCAGGGACCTACCAGCTCCATGTAATATCAAAGGGTGAAAATCTCCCAAAGACCTCCATCTCAACGCTAAGAACCAGCTCCAGTCAATGACCAGCAAGCTACAGTGCTGGACACCCTATGCCAAACAACTAGCAAGACAAGAACAC